AAATCTTTTCGAGTTTTCCTTTCACTCACATTCGATAAATGTTTTGTTTTCGCTTTTTTCAAGTTTGTCATACACATTTAATGACTATATGATTACGCATTTTGGACTGTTGTCCATTAATTGAATTAAATATACCTGGAACGCTAACTGCCATACTTTATTCATGATTGCTTGAAGCCAGCTTGAGCACAGTAACATTTACACTCCCCCCTGATAACGTGTGCGCGTGCTTATTCGACGGCATTAAGTATTCCACGTACAATAAGTTATTTGGCTCTTTTTAGTGTGTTTTTAGTTATATTTATTTATTTCTACGAGCTGTTAAATATTATGAGGATATAGGAAACAAAACAAAAGAAGAATCGCAAGGAAATGACAATTAACGATCGATGCTATTTCAAGCGATATAATTCAAACTAACAGAAAACCATAAAGACGTCTTCGGAAACAGTCTACACACTGTACAGTTAACGGTTGATAAGTAATGTTTATTAATAGTTCATAAAATTTCGTTGGTTTTTAAACAAATTCAATTTAGTTAACTGGAATCTGTAACTTCGTTGTCCATTTTGAATATAACGGTTTCATTAATACGTTTACAGTACTTGAAAAGCCTAAGGGTGAAGTACTTGTCGGCACTGTACGTAATCAATTTCATCTTGTGGTCTTCATCAGGGTCATTGGTCAACTCAGGAGTATGATCATCAAAGATGTTTAAATGACTTGATACGTCGCTAATGATGACAGACTTCTATGGTTATTATACTACGCAGGTTTTTGCTTGAGTTTATGTCATGTCGTTTCTTGATTTTAGGTTCTCTTTGCATCACACCTATGTGTCCTCAGATTTTCTTCTCAGAAGTTGCTTGTATCCCTTTGCCTGAGGAGATTTGGAATTAAGAATGTCAAATACCCTGTCGATGATCCTTGTAAATTTCACTGCAGCCTCACTATTTTTGGCTTTCTAAAGTTTCATTGAAACATTCAAGAATGCAAATGTATTTGCCATAGATGAGCTAAGAATTTGGGCTCTGTCGTGCCCTACTGATTTCTTTTGAAATTCAATTCACTTTCAAAAGAAATCAGTAGGGCACAAGAGAATATATGGATATGCACCTCCTCAATTAACTTTCTAGTAAAGACTCTGGGCTCAGGTATATGTACTATTGCGTAACGCAAGATCAATAAAAGATCAGTAAACAGGAGTGCCACAGGCAGCCTTGAAACCTTTTTTATGTGCAATCGATTTGCGTAAATATTAATTACTTTCTTTTATTCATGTTCAATGCTTGTCATGCGCGCAATTTCGTTTAACTTCATGCACGTATGTTTGTTTACGCATGTATTCCGACTGCATGGCTAGTACAGTTTTGGAGTTAGATGCTGCCAATCTGCGATGCCTTTGAACATTCAAAAACATGACAAATGACAAGGTAAGTGGCCCTGAATTATATACGTTTTGAAAAATTTTTGCTACAAACCCTAAAAACATTGATGTTTTTCATACAATAGAAACAAATTTTAATATTGAAGAAGCTGCAAAAATATAGTAAAAACAAACATTATTGTGCAGCAGTTGTTTTCTATGTTTTGTCATTTATCTATGGAATGTTTACGGTTTTCTGAAAATGTTTGAATTCACGGTCGATAATTTTGTGTTGAAAGTTTCCTACTTTGTCAAAATATAAGAATGCTAAGACCATAAAAAATAGAAGTTAGACAAACATATTGCACATGAATAAGAATTGGTGTTCAATACATAAATCGATTGTATAAAAAACTCAAACGGATTTCTAGGACGCCAATAGGGATGCCGTAAAAGGTTGTTGACTTAAAGGAAACACTTAACGTTGCCAGGATAATTAACGGCTGAAATAAATTTTAGGCGTTTTTGTTGTTTTAAAGCAGGTCATTGAAAGAATTTAAAAAATAATGAAAAACAGCGAAACTGGAGGAAGGCGTGGTTGCCTCAAAAGTCAAATTTAGCCTACGTCAACATCAACGAATGAAGTGAATCCAAACTCATCCAATTATAGACACTGACATTATGATTATTCTCCTAAGGTAAATTAAAAGTGCAATTTAAAATATCTTGATCACGAAACGGCAAAGCTAAAAAAGCATTTGAAACATATAGGGGGCAAAATATCGTGCATGTTGTTTATACAAATATAGCCTTTGTCAATCTTTTTGTTACGCAAACACATATGCTCAGCTTTTAAATTGTGGGCTATTTAATTTATTTTTTTTAATATGTAATTTTTTATAATCTTTATCAGTTAAGGATAGATTTGAGTTTATATTAATCTTAACACCAATAATTGACGATAGTTTCTTGTGAATAAGCGCAGTGTTTGTCACTATTTAAAGATTCTATGAAATAGATTTCCTCTTAATGAATTTGTTGAATTTAAACGAGAAAAAAACTATAAGTTCTATAGATGGCTGTATATATTACATTGTGTAAACTTGATATTTGATTTGAAAAAACTACTTCATGGTAGGTGAGTGCGAACGATTTAAAACTCGACGTAGACGATTCCTTTCTTACGAAGGAACTTAGTTGTTTTGTATTTTCCGTTGTTCCTTTTCTTTTGGACCGAAATGTAATATATTTCCTGAGATATTTACGAAGTTGCTTGACGGAAATGTCGTCGATGCTCTGGGATTTATATTTATTTCGGCTATAAAAATTCTTGAAGAAGTCTATACCCGTATACTAAAAGCTCACTCACATTCACATATATTGAGAGCGACATCACACTATATCTAATCATCAGCAAAGACATTTCGCCATCTATGGCAAGATTTTCTCCTAAAGATTTAAAATCAAGCAATCAGTTGAGTGAAATTGCGGTCTTCGAATAATTATGAAGTGATTTTGAAGACCCATTCATTAAGTGTCTGTGGGCTTTAAGAATACGGGCGATATAATTTATATCAGACTATTCGCTTTGGACCATTTTTGTGACTCACAGTCTGAGGCTTTTTCAGTGTTGACAGTTAGTACAGTGTCAATTGTTGAAGCAGAATCAAAATCATAGCCTGTGTTTCCTTTTGCAAACAGCGATGTTATTTTAGATTGAGCTGGTTTAGCAGCTGCTTTCGCTAATGCATTTGCTGAATCTTTTTTACATCTTTCTGCTCTTGGCATTGCAGAAAAAGCGATAAGATGCAAAAAATATCCCTTTCAAAGTCATCAATGTTTAGGTGACTGAGCCATTTATGCCAGGAGATGTTTACCATTAAAATATCTTTGCTATACGTCATGTTCCTGGCACTATTTTGGATAATAATTAAAGGAATTTGCAAACGTATTGTGATTTTTAGTTGTTTGCATTTAAAAAATGACGTTTCACGGTTGTCGAGGAATCCGCTCCTCAGCTGGTTCATTAACACTCTTCGTTTTGAAACTTTTATTTTACAAGCTAAACAATCTACAAGTACATCACTAGAGTATTCTTACGCTATCTATTAGAGTAAATTATTTACATGTTATTTATACTATCGGTAATTACATAAGTCGAGCTTTCCTTTACGTCATTAGCAGTACTCACTCTATCATTGCGTTTCAAGTTCTCACGCGTTGCAACAAAAAAGAAGAATTAACTAAACAAACAAAGAACTTACAAAACCTACTTAAACAAAGAAATGTTAAAGTGAAACTAACATAGTTACAACAATTTTATTGCTAAGATCAAAAGAATGCAATATCTCACAACGGTTAAGTAGTCTTTATCTGGAATTAAAAACAATAAATTTTGAACCTGTAGGGCACTTTTGCCTCCCTGCCCATCTCCAGAAAAGCAAGGGGGAGGTTGCCCCCTTGCCCCCCAGCTCTGGCGTCCCTGGATGTAAAAGAAATACATAGAAGGGTAACTAGCGGGTGTAATGCTTGGCATATTTTCTTTACGCAATTGTTAAATCCGCCATTTTTCAGGCTAGTAACTTGATGTCGGGGTACTATGAATTTATATAGAAAAAAATTGTTATTTTGGAATGTCATTCACCTCATACGCAGAGGTTTTTGGAAGATGCGGAATGTTGTGAGAAAACAAAAAGATATATAAGATATATATATATATAGTGAGAGCTCATAATAATTCAATTCCTAACAAGTTGTTAGCAATGAAATTATGAGCTTAACAAGTACTTGTGATGTTTACAGCAATGAAAAATGTATACCGCCCTCAAAGCTCTTATTCTAAAAAGCCTTTGCCACGGAAGATGCAAAATAACCATATGAGAAACCTTGTTAACCAACAACATCTTGTCCATTAATATCTTTCGTAAGCAACGCCGCCATATTTAACTGTGCTTCGTAAAGTTAGCGATGCTAACTAGCTAACTTCAACTATCTTTTAACTACTGCTAGCACTAACTACTTTTTTATACAACTAACCTAACTCAGACTAAGTGCATGAACGTGCTGTAATTAATTTAACCCTTCAATATATAAAGATTTCTCTTGCCATAAATGTATTATGAAATTTCTGAGGCAATAGCAGGGGACGGCTTAACGCAAAGGGACTGCTTAATACAGTACCTGCTTCATTTTGTCAACTGTACATATACCATGTTGTAATAGCAAAATATTCAAAATAGCTGAACATTTGTTTATATTTTCAGTATAAATAAATTATGTTTTAGATAGGTATAAATTGGGTAGATGCAGAGCGATAAAGAGCATTTTGAAGTTCACTTCTTATGTAATCAAATTATAAGGTATGAAACACACCATTTAAACTGAAATAAGGGCAGGGCTATCCACATGTACGCACTCGTACCTATGTTTTCTTAAAAGTCCTTACGCAATTATGTCTTTCTAAAACTGAATGACTCAGAAAATATAGTAAATTCCTCATTGACATTATCCAAAATACAGACTGCAAAACAGGCTTGATTATTATAACAAGCTAAGGTTTGAAAATATTTATTCAAAGAGTACGTTCAAAATCAAAATTTAGACTATGGCATTGAAGAAAAAAAATTACCCCTGATGCAACTATGAAGTCTTATTACATAAAAATTGTAGTTTGACAACAATGTTGCCACTACGTAAAATTTTACTCGTATTTATAGATATAGGTAAATATCGCGCTGATTCACGTTGACTACCACAATTTGTGTCTTAACAGATAGGCATACAATTATTTTGAAAAATGTTGTTTTGAACAGTTCTAAATTATACAACAAGATACTAAAAGGTTTTTCCAAAAAATACACAACTTTAAGATGATATAATCTATCTCTTTCGAGTGATAATGACATATCCGTCTCCTTTGTCATTAAAGGCTGACTTGTTCACTTGATTTTTTCCTGCATTATAAGATCCACCACCACCAGCACAAGATCCGGACACATTTTCTCCCGATGCTCCACCTGAGTAACCACCTCCTCCACCTGCTCCTCCACCATTACCATATGCTCCACCACCACCTCCAAATCCACCAACAGCATTGTTATACCAGGCACGTCCTCCTGCTCCTCCAATTATAAAAGCAAAACCTCCTTCTCCTCCATTTCCATACTTTCCCAAACTGTTTACTTCTCTCCATTGCTGTAAAATCCACCTCCACCACCACCTAATAAACATCATAAAATATTTATAAATTTTATATTGTTTTACTTGATTTGATTGCACCAGGGCTAGAAATGATTTATATGGGAAAGGTTTATTTCATATAATAAATCTTGGTGTAGTAAATGGTTTGAACCCGGGAGTATCGTTACATGTTTGTAAATGCAGATCGTCCATGTTGGTATAGTCCAGAAGGACTCTGTTCTTGTTGATGACGTTTCGACAACCTTAGCGGTGAAATATCTTCAGAGTCAAATGAGGAGTAAACTAAAGGTTAGCCATTTGTTATCTGTTCTTACGTCATTGTACAGGTGTAAGCAGGAAATGTATTGTCATTGTGAATTAGTGAAGTGAAATATTTTTAGTTGTGATGTGTGATTTAGTGTGATATTTTAGTTGTAATGTTTGTGTCAATTGTGTATTGTCATTGTGAATTAGTGTGAAGTGTAATGTTTTTAGTTGATCGTTTGTTCCGGTAATTGCTGTGATCTGTTCAGGGGGGTTTGTTCCAAGTTGGTATACCAACTATCTAATGTAAGCCGTTGTCTATAGTCAGTACTGTAAGTAATGCATTTTTCCGAGTCCCAGTCAATGTTGTGCTTTGTGATTTGGTGATGTTAGGCAATGTGATTAGTTTTGTCTTGTTTCATAGTAGCTCGTTTGTGTTCAGTAAGTTTATGTTTGTTCTCAGTTTCCCCAATATAGAGGCGTGGCAGTCGGAGCAGTTCATTTGGTAAACTGCCTTTGTCGTTCGTTGGGTTGTTCTTTGTCCTTTATGTTCGTTGTACGGTCGTAACGTTGTGATTGGTTTATGCGACACGTATGTTGTATGGTCGTAAGATACGCGAGATAGTCCAGACGTTCCTTTGAGGGTATCGTTGCTGTTGCCGATTGTTTCGTTGGTTTTTGTAGTACAGGTTTGATCGTGTTGCAGTTGTTTTGTCAAAAACTATAACTCTGACTTTATCAAACGCAACACTTACAAACCCAATGAACCCAACGAAACGAACTCAGTGACAACAGCAACGATACATTACAGTTGTTTTTGTCAAAACTATAACTCTGACTTTATCAAACGCAACTCATGTGCAAACCCAACGAACCGATAAACGAAACGAATAACTCAGTGACAACAGCAACGATACTTACATCAAAGGTACGTCTGAGACTATCTCGCGTATCTTACGACCATAAAACATACGTGTCGCACATAAACCAATCACAACGTTACGACAAGTACTAATCACATTGCCGAACATCACCGAATCACAAAAGCAACATTGATCTGGGACTTGGCAAAATGCATTACTTACAGTACTGACTATAGACAACGGCTTACATTCAGTTGGTATACCAATTGTTACAAACCCCTGAACAGATCACAGCATTACCGGCACATTACAAACGACTTATTCACAATTCAAACAAACGATCAACTAAAACATTACACTTAACACTAATTCACAATGAAATACACAATTGACACCCAAACATTACAACTGTAAGATCATTACACATAAATCACACATCACAACTAAAACATTTCACTTCGCACCATGGCCTACTCAAATTTACACGGCCTGATATCTTGCCATAGTAAAGATAAAAATGCGGCCATTGAATTTTCAATGAGTCATCAAGTTTTTTCCTCAAATCTAAAAATAGAGACAACATGACATAAGAAGTTTTTCATGAATCTTTTCCTGTTTTCTTCTGAAATGATTGTTATTGAGGAAGTTGTTTATTTGAAAAAGTAAATTTATCTTGGTTAGTTGAGTGTTTGTGATAAGATCTTGATTGAGTTGTTCGTCAGTTGCAGTGCAGAATGCCAAACAAATGTAGCGTTGCTGGGTGTTACACCAAATACAAAGGACATGCTAGTGGGACTGTATTCGAGTTTACAAAAGACGAGGAGCTGCAACCAATATGGTGCTTGATCTTGAACAGAGTAGCTCATGACACCGCTGAACTAAAATCCGTGTTTATATGCGAACATCACTTCGAGGACAAGTATATCCAGCAAAATACCAAGTATCTTCGCCTCATCAAGTCAATGAAGCCAATTAACCATCCATCCAGAGCCTGAAAGATCGTCCTTCACTGCGACCTTCAATCCCAAAGCTTCGAAAACTCCGACTCAACACGTTTTTCAGGAAGATGAGTTTGACAAGTTCAAGCACTTGATATAATGAAGATTTTGTTGACATTAACGACTCACTGCTCCACGAACTTGGTCACCGTTTTTCTCGCCATGACGACCATGCCATTTCAAAAGGAAAAGAATGAACAATCTGATCCTGAAGCAGTTTGCATCCGAGTGGATGTTGATCTGCGCGTATGCTTTACCACTGAGCAGTGCCCCGCTTTACCTGAGTGAGTTCTCGCAGAGGTCAGTAATTGATGAGTAAAAGTATGCTCCACAATTTTCCTGCCTATGTTGAACAAAAGAGTTTATCCGTGTTTTGGAAGAGTTAAGGAAGAAATATTGAAGAGCCCTGTGTATTCAGCAATAATTGGTATGCCCCTCTTGTTACGTTATACATCTCTAGACTTAGAAACTGCTGCAAGAAGAGTTTAAATTGCCATCTGTGTTCCTCCGGCGAATAACAGCTGAAGATCGATGCATTGAAAGCTGCGAACCTTCTTAAAGACAACGGCAGTATTTGATGATGTGATTCTGATAGGATGACATGTTTCTTCAGAAGTGCGAGGTACATTACTGTGAATCATATGCCGCAGATGAACAAGGTGAGTGTATAAGGTGTGGTATGTTTCATGATCGTTGGGTTAAAAGTAACATTCCATATGTGTGAAAGCCCTTCCAAGAAAAACAAATAACTGGAAATGGTTAAAAGACGATTTTAGCCTGTTTGAAACTAATCAAGAAAATGGATTCCGTGTCAGAGGAATTGTAACGGATGATCATTCTTCGAACGTCAATTCATACAAGGAATTGCGCTCTGCGTGCGTTGTGTTGATGATGTGTATATCACACTGAATAGTCAGAAGACCTATCTGTTTTCGACTCTGTTCACCTGGTGAAGAACATCAGAAATAATTTGCTGAATCGCAAAGGTTTCTTTTTCCTACTTTCAATTTTACTGGTTTTATGACCCTATTTCAGTAAGCGGAGGAGGATTACGTGGCGGTTACTTCATGAGTGTACGAGAAAGATCATAAACTTGAGGCAAATTTAAGGGCAGCGCCTGAACTTAGTGCGAAGGTTTTACACTCGGGAAATTGTAAACAGAATGTACCCCTAGCTTTAGCCATTTTTTCACGTTCAACTGCTACCGGCATAAGACATTATTTTCCTGACAAAGCCGACGACATTGCAAGTTTCCTGCACCTTGTTGATATTTGGTGGACAATTTCAAATTCAAAATCCCGATTTAACACCTCTAATCGCCTTGGGAATGCTGCAGCTCTCAATGACAAAAAACCCGAATTCTTGAGAGCCTTTGTAGACAGTGGGATAACCTTAAATTGTCGAATTGCGACAAATTCAATCTGCTCAAACTAGTCGGTGCAACCCTTCGCTGCCATGCTGCTTTAATTGAAGAACTTTTAGTGAGGTTTATTCATACGTGCTGACCGCGCTTCCAGAGTGATCCGGGAAAACGGTATGGTCAGTACCGCCAAATGAGTGGTCATCGTTTTTGTCGGCTTAAGATGTGTATTCTGAAAAGATTCAAAATAAAAGCCTTGTGAAGGAAGGACTGGACATTGATGATCGGGTCAAAGTCAACGATGATAAACCACCGGAAAAAGTAACAAAATTTAGAGACTCTGTGCAGCCAATCATATCTGAGTCTAATAGGATATGTTTGACGGATGCTTCTAAGGAAATTTCTGATAACGTTGCTGGCATGTTGCAAAAAGCTGATTGCTTTGCAATAGTTGCTGTGAGCAACTACTAACCAATAATGGTGTTTTTCAAATGTGCAGTTACTTTCTCGCAGATTGAAGGAACCATCTGCTGCTTGGGTAATTTTAAAGTTGTTCATTTGATTTTGTACTGAATACAGCAGCAAATATTATTCAAGACTAGCAGCCATCGCGATTTGTTGCGGAGGATCTTTTGAAAACCGTTTTGTGTAACGAAGGGTTCGTCTGCGAACAGCACGAAGATATCGCCAATAACCGGGCAATAAGAATTATTTGTAACGTCTTCCTCAACAATCAGAGGAAAAGGCGAACAGAGACTGTTGTCAAAGACCGATTTGTTGCACTAAAGCAAAGCAAGCGTTCCAAAGGCAATTGATGTAATTTTATTTATATTAACCGAGATTGCGTTTTTTAAAAGGCATCTACTTTCAACTCGAGTTTTTGTTTCAATTTTAGCATGCAAAAGTCTTGTTTGTCTCTGAGACACTTGATCTTTAGTATATACTGCAATCCGATTTCACATATAAGAGGTAGAAGTCGAAATCAATTAGAAATCGTGAATGTCTTAATGGCCTTGCATTTTTGGCCTTGCAAGATATCAGGCCGTGTAAATTTGAGTAGGTGCACTAATTCACAATGACAATACACATTTGACACCCACACATTTCCTGTACACACAATACAAGGACGTGAGAACCAGATGACAAATACGGCTAACCTGACGTTTACTCCTCATTTGACTCCGAAGATGACTACCGCTAAGATTGTCCAAACTTCAGTCAACAACAACAAAAACAGTCCTTCTTAGGACTATACCAACCTGGACGATCTACGTTTACAAACATGTAAATCTTGGTGTAATGGTTAGAGCTCATAAATATAAAATTCAGTATTCCTTAACAACAAAGTTTTTCTCGTAATGAATTAAAATTATTAAAAATGTGAGCCTAAATACCGTAAACTCAAAATCTGCTACAACCTGAATTTTCTGAATCAGCTTGCTTTGCTCCTTGCCCATTTACTCCTCCAGCCCAATTTCTGCAAGGTGTGACACATTTATTATTTTTTCCAGATGTTTTAGTGCTCGCATCACAGTTATCTAAACGTTTGTTCAGTCTTTCTATACCGCCACCACCTCCAGCAACAAGTAGTGGAGCATTGTTGTTCCTAACAACAAAAGAACCTCCACCTCCTCCTGCACTTTGGCTTTGAGTATTGAGGGGTGCTTCTTGCCCAACCAGAATTTTAATAATTTCTCCTTTCTTTATTTTAAAGTCTCCTTTCATGTAAGCTCCACGACCTAAAAACGATACATCATCCAATTTTAACGTTAAACAAATCAAAATTATTGCTTTTTTATCAGAAATAATTCTATTAATTGGAACTCCATGGCCTCGCATAAAAGCACAAGCTTCTGAAAATGAAAAAAACGGGTACTTTGTTTCACAGGAAAAAAATATTGGAATGAAAAGCTATGTTCTTTGTTTGTATTTTCTTTAGAAAATAGGCTTTTCAAAATATATTGAAAGAAATGTTCATCATTAAATTCATCATTTAAATGACGTTTTGTTTATTTTTCACCATTCAAATTTCCTGCGCAAACCATGCAGTCTGCTAGATTTTCTAGAGAAGTTTCCGTGCATTATAAAGCTATAGAGTGTTTTCATTAGTCGCTATGTTTGGGAAAATCGCTTATAATGAAAAGAACTTATGTTAATTTCATGTTATTTTGAGCATCGGCACTTTGATGTTCTCTCCCTAACACAGTGAACTAAAATAAATGGAACGCTGCCTGTAATACGAAACCCTAATAGTTATTTAAAGACATGATTTTACCCCAGACACGCGAGATTTTACCCCAGAATCACCTGGTGAAAATCATGGTGACAATTACAGGATTAACATTGAAGTGTTGCTTTTCTCGAAGAGAAAAATAACAAGAAATGGGCCTTTATTTCAAAAAAAAAACACGAAAAAGATATTTTTGGTCATATTGACGGGTAAGATCTATTGCTTTTTTCTTTATTTCTCTTGACTCAACACAAGCGATAGACTTGACAAGATTTCGTTAGATAGTTGAATTTAGGCAAGAGTCAATCAACATCTTCTTTATGAGCATTAAAAGCATTGACAACCAAAAAGTTGTTGAAAAAGACGGTAAACTATTCATTGCACGTCTTTTTTCAAGAACAGAGAAGTTGTTTTGGGGGTATTTATATATAAGATTAGTTATCTTTGATGTATTTTTCTTTTCACGGGCTGCCAAACGTCGATTTAATAGATATATGTAGCTTCAAAAAACATGTTTTACTTAGATATTGTTTGTTTTCCAAGCATGTTTACGTATTTTTTTACTGTTTCTGTATCAAAAACGAAGTTATAAACAAACGAAATTCAACAGATCAATAATCTATTTACATTAAATGAGAATTAAAAAATACTCATCTTGTTTACTCCAATAGAGCGTAAACAACAACATTATTACGAACGTTATTATAAGTGCAAAGAAGGAAGCAACTGAATTTGTTTGTCAAATTGATCAAACGTCAACACAAACATGCAACTACAAACAAAAAAATGTCTTTTTCGATATTATTGTTGATTTTCTCTTCGAGTTTCTTGTTCAACTAATCAATTTTCACTCGGTGAGAATCTCGACACATTACACACGCGTGTCTGGGGTAAAACCACGGCTCCAATTATTTTAGGTAGCGTTGCATGTATTTACTTCAATGCTCCCATCATGACCGCTTCGACGTCACGTGCAACAATCCTTAGAAGCACTTTTTTCAAGCATTCGATCAATCAGCGGGCGTATTTTTAAAGAAATTTCATAGTTGTGTATGCTAACAAGAATACAATAGAAAATTTATTGTGAGCAACTTTTTAAACTTTTGGGAACATTTTGAGCATATTTTGACATTTTAGCAAAATTTCACGAAACTGATAACACAATCTAGGCTTGTTAATTCTATGGAGCGTTTGCATGTGACGTCAAATAGCCCAAGTTTGGGGAGTACATCAAAGTATCGATGCTTAACAGTACATGAAATTAGCAGAAATTTTATTTCACTATATGAAATTTTCAAAGCAAATTGGTGACTGATGAAGACACTATATTAGATTTTCCGAATGATAAATTTTTTTTGTAATAAATTTTTACGTCACGTTACAACTTGTGTCGTAAAGTATTCAACTGTCATTATCATTGACGCCTGCGCAAAATGAAGGGTTTCTTGAATATTATTCATACGAGCACAGTAATAGTTTATGATCAGTCACATTTTTTATACATTATAAAAAACAATCACTTACGAAAGTTTGATAAAATTTTACGATTGTATGTTCTACATACGAAAAAACAAAATAAGCGATGTTAAATCCATTTAGTTTTGTATAGGTTGATGAATTTCGCTTTTCGCAAGAAAAATTAGCGCAGTTTTGAGCATTTGCTAAATATACAGCTGCCAAAGTTATAAAATTTGAAAATTTCATTGCCATGTAAAATGCTGCCGAGCATGAACGAGGCAACACACTATTCATAATTCCAAATTCACTCGACCCAGTCTTTTCACGCAACCTATGTAATTTTTAACACTCGGATTTGTCGTCTGTCCGGCAAGATTTTTTTAGGGCACGACGTCACAATTTAGAACATTTTTTTACTGTGGGGAGTGGATGATAAAATCATTAAGTAGAGCACGCATGTTTTTTCGGTTGATAAACATTAACGAACATTTTAAGATTTAAGTTCTTTATATTTTGGATTTGACGAACGGGCAGAAAGCAAATTTTCCTCGAATACCTGATACTAGCAGTAGTATGGCTTCATTAACAGCTGCTGATTTGAATCAAATCGATCCACTCAGATAAAAAAGCAATGTGCTTTCATGCTTTTATCGGCGCTTTTTACGGCAAGAATATTTCATTTAATGCATCACATATGGTGGACAAAAGCACACTTTTATCGGCACAAATATTTCATTAACCGAATGGTGGACAAAAGTACATTTAGCTAATGTGCTATTACAAGTAGACAATAAATATGTAAGAACTCTCAATAGTGACCTTATAGTATTAGAGTCAATGTTTCATGTAGTATAACTATTTCGGCATGTCAAATGATTTTTGTTTTAAATTATGTACGTAAGTGTAATGGGATGGTCAAAAAATACTCGCCACGTGTGAAGCCTCTCCGTTCACAAATTAAGTATACAACAATGAGCAATATAGTTTTACCATAATAAGATAATAGTATTATAATAACAAAACTACACGGCTGTTGGCCCAAAATTAGAGATTCAGTCAGTTGTATATTATCTTGTAAACATGGTTTACTCTTTTCATATACGAAGTAAACTTTGCTCCATTTATTTGTGAACGACAATGTTACTCTTTACAAAGCCTTAGGACGACATGTACAAATGAAGATATAGTATAATCTAATAAAAACGGTTTTCATTCATAATAGCAATGAATTTAATGTTAAATTTTTCGAGGATGTTTCTATAATCGTCGCAAGTAAAACATGGGAAGCGGATATACTTATGCTCGCTCGAGCTTGCCGTCGGCTTTCCGTGCGCTTGATTTCATTTCTTCTAAGCACTCGTCCCATGGATGAAAAAGGAAGCAGCAATTCCTTTGCGATAGTAACTTTAGTGTAATAATATTGTCTTAAAAATTGAGTTTCCAATTATCTGATAGGAAACTACAATAATAGCAAACTTTAAAACTTTACCTCTATAAGCAGAGCCATACTTATCATCACCACCCTATTGCACCAACAGCTGTAATTTCATAAGTTCCAGGCACTGTCCAATACTGGATACCTTTCGATACGGTTACCATATTTTCGTGATCCTGACCATTGTAAAATTGACCAATTGATGTTGGACCATGGCGACCAGAGGCTCCAAGATTTGTAAATATTGCATTGAATTGACGGAACTCAACTATATTATAATACAACTATTGAATTGAATCATTTAAATTGCATATAAACCTTACGTGTTTTTACACTATTCAATGTACATGGTATCAAAGGCCATATTCCAAAATTTTTCTGAAATAAGACAAATAGTTTGCGCTGTAAACTCCGTCAAATTTAAAAAATATACCATTTTAAGCACTCGGTTTTACCACTATGACTGGGCCTGCGTCAAGCTGACATCATGTAAATAACACGGGTCTGAACTGTCGTAAAGATATATGAAAAGTATAGCAAGATATTGTCATATAAGGCCAACTTAGTCGACTATAACCGGCAGGTTTAACGTTTTCTGCCCATAGCGTGCAGGCCACTACTCCTCTTTTAATGGTCCGCCAATTCTGTTGAAATAAGTGGCTCAACTTTGTTGTGGTAAAGCGAGTAAAATGTCCAATATCAGATATGTAGTATTTGCATTTTACATTTAAGCTCAAGAACTTGACTAGGCGGTATATTTCATTTGCAAGACAAGCAGGCTTGTGTACAATCTTTCTTTCCTCTTCAGTCACAGCCGAATCTTCTCCTTCTACGTATAAGGAGCAAAGCACTTGTTTATGTGACAGCCGGATGGATTGACTCCCAAAACGGGAGATGAATGAGACATCGGATTTTATACATTTTTTATATGTAATTCTCATTTGTTTGTATGGAACTGGGATGTTTTTTGTCTCGCGCCGGTTAGTCTGGATCGATTTTTTATAACCGTGATCTTGGTCAACACGGGACATGTTTTTGGTTATATAAATTCTCAAATTTTTGCACGACGAACAAAACGATTGTTGGAAGTCAAAGTTCAGAACAAACAACTATAATTTCTTGTTCGAGTCAAATACAAAGCAAAAAATATGCCATTCTGAAAGCGAGATTTGTATTTTCGGAATTTTTTACAAAGCTCAAACGACAAAGTACGGATGCCGCTAAAGACAAAGGCTTTGGCAAATCAAGGCTGAGGAGACGTGGTATGATGGTTTCCTATTCTCAATTACTTTTTGTCTCGTTGTAAAAACTCGTATAAACGTGGGATGTATACAACCCATCTTAGAAACATCCCGTCCTAACTTCCTATATAAAAAGTAAATATTATGCCACATGTGTTTTTTTCATTGGAGACTAGCTTTGCCGCTGACAACTACTGTCGAACTCTACGTCAAAAATTTCATCTTCTGATGAATCTAACGATAAAAATGCCGACCTAAATAAATCCAATTTTTCAAAAAAGGACGCTATGGATGATTTACAGCAGACAGTTTGTCTTGAATTAAATAGAGTCGTGCGAACAGTGCTCCTTACATGACGTCACGAGAAGAACTAGATACCAGTTCCCTTAGTGAAAAATATATATGGTAAATTTGGAGTTTTATCAGCAATTTCCCAAGATAGGTTTAACGTAAATCAATTTACTTTTTTGAATTTGTTAATTTGACTAGCTGTTCTTTTAAACAATACTAAAATCCTGTAAGGTTTATATGCACTTCAATGAATACAACTGTATTTTATGCGAAGCACAAGCTATCTTGAGACAAGATGTAATCAATCAAATGTTAAATAATAAAGCACAACCTATTTTTATATTAATTACAAGCATAAATAAGTAGAAATATTTTTCTGTCTACGTACCGTCAGTTCTGTTTAAGCATAATGATGCATACGACCTTTCATATGATTTAACTTCTGTTTTGATGTCATCACAGCAATCAGGAGAAAGTGACGAATTTTTCTTACACAGTACTTGATAAGCATCCATTTTTGAATCAACCAATCTTTTGATTTTATCACAGCACAAAGAATGACTCCTGGTGATAAAATTATCATTTTCAAACTATTAATTAAACTTGAAAAGATATCATTAATTATTTAAATTTGAATAGAATTTTTTCTGACGCAAATGACTCTTAAATGAATGTCTTAGAGTTTATGTCATATAAACAACAACAAATGCCTGGTGGATAAGTTATTATAACAATCTGCATGTCATTGAACGCAATTGCAAGGTATTGCGACAGGAAAGGCATCTTTCGTAGCTTCAAAAAGTCAAACTTTCTGACCCAATAGGATCACAAGATAACGATGTCCGTTATCATTGCCGTTAAATTAAAAATTGCTGGTGGACAATCTTCAGGAGTGAACGAATAATTGTTAATACGTTGGAGAAAAAAGATGAGAGATATATATGATGGAGAAAAGTCAGATTAAGGTTTCTTGTGTTAAGGAAACAAGATTTAAGAAAGCAAAAGCAAGAAAGTTAGGATAAAGCTAAAAAAATTGTGGCACAATAATGCTAAAAAAAGAACGACAAGCATGGGTACAAAAATGATTTAATGGACGTAGTTGGGAAATTTGAAGAATAACAGATATTTTGTTATGTCTAAGGATTGAGAATATTAGAATAGTGGTTGACATAAATAGAGCGTATGTACGGCTGAATAAATGAGTGGCAAAAAAAAAAAATTCTGACAGGTCCTAGATGATACATATAAAAAGATACTTAAGGTGGAAAGGATTGTGATGTAAGCTGATTTGAAAGTGCATGTTGGAAAAATTAACAGAAGAAATGAGATCTTGGGGAGCTATGGAACTGGGAGGAGAAATATTAAAAGACCGTTTATCGTGAAATTATTGGAGAGAATGGACCTATAGCTGTGTGAAGCTCTTTTAAGTGTGTGCTGTGAAATAAGGAACTATCTGCTAAATTAAAGGAAGACATTTATAAGAGTGTTGTCAGAACGGTGATAATGTATTGTGTGGAAACTATAACAATAGCAGCAGAGGAAAGGGTCGACTGGAAGTAGCCGAGCTGAGAATGGTCAAGTGAGCACTTGGAGACACTAGAAAGACGAAACAGTAATTAGAACGTTCAAAGCAAACCAAAATTCATAAGGACTGGTTAAAAGTTAAAAAAAGATTCGCAGCAATGTTTGCACATCTAATCAATGACGTAGTCAGCCTGCAAATTTGGTCCTGCTATGTTAATTGCTCTGTAATCACTTAATGTAAAAACAATAGATTTCTAAAGAAATGAATAATGTTAATGATCTAAAATTTACATAGCAAGACCAAAACTTCCGGGCTGGTTACGCCACTCGATATAATGATAAGAAAAGAGGATTTTAGTGAAGACATTTACCAAAGATGATAGTGTCTGTCTAGAGTAAAAGAAAAATGCCATGTAAAAACTGCATAGATTTTGCGAGGAATATTTTATATATGAGAAAGGTGAGTGTCATGTGTCAAGATGGGATTAAATGAACAGCTGAAAAGAGATAATAACACAAGCAAAAACTTATTATATTCAATAAACATAAAATCGATGAAAAACATGAATCAAACAAACACCAGCACACGAAACTTACATTTGTATAGATCCATAGATAACTACAAGTAGGAGGGAAATGCCAAAAGTAAAATTTGTCATCTTTTTTATAGTTCGTGGTGTCGAATGATCAAAATGAGGCAAAATCTACATAATCGCAAGCATGTGGTTATTTGATTTACTGATTTACACATATACATAAGAGAGAAAGAATAAAGAGTATGTGCAAATATACATATTTTGTATCAATTGCACTAGTAACTTTTCCATTAATTATCTTAATGTTAACGCTTTTGTTTTGTTTTCCTGAGAGGTAAGTCGCCGTTTTTTTCATTTCATCTTGTTTTGTGATTATTGCTCATTGCTGAAGATTTTATAGAACTTAAGTAAGAAAATAAGTTTAAAACGGCATGCCAATATGTGTGCCTCAATTATGTTGTTGTTTGGTGAGATAATTTTAAGTAATAATACATTTCTTGCCGAATTTTTGTCTAATCTAGCAGTCCGTCTTCAGTAAGGACTTAAATAAATCGTTCAATCTTCAATTTTATACGTCAAAAAAATGCAAAAGGTTGCTTTGAAGAGTTATTTATTACTAATATCAGTAGAAAATCTAAAAAATTCAATTAAAAACTTTATTGTCTGGAAGTCAAAAAAAATTTATAATTTAAATGTACAGCTTGACATCAAAATGAGAATAAAAATTAAAATAATCTTCAAATAGAAAATGAAGTGTTTTTGCTTTACACGGTTGATTCTAATTAAAGAAAAATCTATAAATTTGCTTTTTTTGTATATCAAAAGTTTTCATAGTTATATTTGTGAATAAATTATACATATAAATATATGCAATATTCGATTTTATACGACATCCAAAAAAACCTTTACATGCGAGCAAAATTTCGTGGATACGCATTGTTAATTGTCGTAAGAGACAATTCAAGTATGATACAACTATTTATTATAATTAGCTTTTAAAGTAAAACCGAATGGGACTCCTTAGAATACATACAGAAAAATATTATGAGTAATTAAATTTGAAAAAGAGTATAAATATCTGTAGATTCTGCAATTTTAGACTTATATCTCGTTGTTATATAGAGCTGTGTAGAGCGAGGAATGACAATAAATATTTTAAAAAGATCACAACACTTGTAATTTAGCTTTTAACTGTTAAATTGCAGTCTCATATCCAAATTGAAGTGTTCATGTGTTCGCATGGCCAACAAGATTCATTTAATTATCTACAACAAATTTTTTATATGATCATTTGTTAAAGAATCGTAGAAAGAAATTAATTTTATGTTATTATATGAGAAAATGACAGCGTTTATAAAATTACCAGGATATAAGTGAATAGAGATTAAAATCACTTAACTATATTAAAGTACAATTTTAAAATTCTTCTTATAAAACCTGCTATACTGATCTCTTAGATTTTCTCCTGATTGTTTCAATAGTCAATGCGTAATAAAAAATGTAAAAGGACAAAAACAAAAAAGAGTAATTTTGTGTCTTTGTTTTACGAATAGGTACCGATGACATTTACGTTCTGCTCTCCATTTATACTTGGATACGTAATGCCACATTATATACATATCAATGGTTTTCTTGACTATATTATGATAAGATGTAGTCGTCATTCGAAGGTAATCATTTAGCCTAATTGTTTTCTTAGTTTGAGAAAATGGACAGATGAGAGCAGTTGCATGGGCAGCAAAAGCTTATAAATTTTCTTCTTTATGTTTTTTCTTCGTTTTCTGTTTGCTTTACGTTTGTTTATACTTGAGTGTAAAGTTATGCATTTCGGATCGTGGTCGATTGCGGGAGAATAATGGACCGGATTCAATCAAAGCGCGCCATTTGAAGTTTTGCAAAAAATGCGCATAAATAAAGAAATAATCTGCATCTTTCTTTCATATCATGAATCTTAAGTTTTCTCTTTTATAGTTGATGTAATTGTGTCAAAACTACTGTCGTAAATATTTTGTGTAAATATTTTGTAGCGATACTATGATGGATCAGTACGATCCACTTCCGTATTTTGTCTTTTACGCTTTACATCATCTCATGCTTTTAAAAGTAATGTGTATCTGTAATATATTGCATATAAGCACCTGCATTGCATAAGAGTTCATACTGCAACAAAGAACAAGCTTACCAAACTAAAGCGCCAATTTTAAATAGCAAAATATTTACATACGAGCACATTTCAATAAAAAATGTAATATAAATTTACTACAAATATACAAAACAATTGATAATTACACATACTTTTTTAATTTATCCGCAGTTTTCTGAAGGAAATTTTTCCAGGGAGCTCTGTTCTTATTCGAGTTCTGCAAGAAGTGCAAGCGTCTCAAACAAGAAATGAATTTATAAATTTAAAATGCAGGAAATTGTAAGCTTCAATATTTGTGTTTTAAGCCTATTGCTTAAACGGCTTCCTGTATATTTGTATAGGGTTTGTTAATTCAATTGCACGAGTTCCTTTTTTATTTCTTGAAGTGCGAAAATTTGTTCCACAGTGACTTAGCTACTTTATCTTGGCAAAATACAGAGTTTGTGACTCTCTAAGAATTGTTAAAAAATCATGAATCAGTCTTTAAATGCATGTACATGCTAATTAATATTGAAATATTCAGAAAATATTTGATGAAACAGTTAAAAATAGTTAATTGTCATTGTTTCAGGAGCTTCACATTTTATTAGCTATACACGATGAATTAATTATGTCAAAAAGAAATTATTGTTTTAAGTATCGCATTGTTTTTTGTAAGAATTATTAACTTTTTAAAATTTGAAGTTGGTAATTGTTGACATATTGATATATTATAATATATTCAAGAATAAACATTGTTATTGTTAATCATAAAAGAACATTGGTTAAATATCACGTGATCGAAAACGTATATCGAACGATTATATCATCATAGTTATTTTTGAATCTTTTACCTCCAAGTTATATACATTGTCACTTATCTAAACGAACTTTCTTTCTTCAATAAACGCAACTATTCCATTAAAAGTTAACAGTAATAAGAAATCATCAAAGCCAAACATAGACATCAGTTTTTTATCTTTTGCGAGTATTTGTTTTTCTCGTTGTATGAAAGTCGGCACGAATTACTTTTGGTTGATTAGAATTACTTGACGTGGCAGTTAAGTTCAAATAAAGATCAACATTTTAAATCTTTAGGTGTTTCCTACAAACGCTGACATATTTACTAATACATCGATAAAGAATAGATGTTATTTCGACATTCATACACATTAACACATTTCCAAAAGAAACTCATTTTAAAATGCATAAATTTTTGTGACATGCATGCAAACCAAACTTCATACATTCGTTAGCTTTAATGAAGAGATTCGTCGGTATTAGAATTTATTTAGCTTGAAATTTGACAAATTTTTTTCTCTTACTATCTTTTATTTGATTATCTGCTATAAAGCTTTCGTTTACAGTCGTGCAATAGTTTACAGACAACTGCTTGGTTTGCACAACATTATATATATTGTTGTGGAGTCATAGCCATGTTGTCATCGCATGTTGTCATAGTCATTTTGTGGTGTCAAAGACATACATTGTTGTGGTGTCATAGACATACATTACTGTCAAAGCCATATATTTTGCATACCGTGAGTTTGATTGGGATCAAAGTAAGCTTCTTTTCTTCAGTATCGCCTTCCAGTGAGTTCTATTTCTATTGAAACTTTACAATAAGTGCGTGCGTGTCACACAAGACATGCATTCGAAATTTAGAATTACCTGAAAATGTAATCTCTTCTGTTTATTTTCTTGGGCATAATGCTTAGAGGGAACCTTCGTATTTATAAAAAAGTTTTTAAAATTAAGTAGGGTCATACACACAATGTTTATTTTAGCCACTTTAGACATTCTAGTCTTTACCAATGCAAAATATGTGACTTTTTAAGAACAATTAATGTCCAACTGTATGTATCCATGCAATTTAATTTTCATATAAGTGTGAAAATTATACACGAAAATTTAACAATAATTGTAAAACTGAGAAATATAACCTTGTTCAAGCAGCTGCACGTTTCATATATGATGAATTAATTAACTAAAAAAAGAATATTTTTGTTCTTAAGTATCTCATTGTAGTTAGTAAGATTTGTCAACTTTTGATCAAGAGAAAACATCAAAATCATTCACAAACATTAATCTCCCTTTCGTATGACTTTTTTCCTTTTTTGTGTCGAGGTCAGTAGCTACAGATTGCTTTAGGTCGAATAAAATTTGCTTGACGTGGCATTTAATTTTCAACGTTAAAAATAAATATGCATTAACATTTTACATCTTTAAGTGTGCCTAACAAACCTTGAAATATTTACTATTACAACGATGAAGAATCGATAATATTACTTAAAATCTTTGCACATTTCAGAACGAGAGGCAACTTATGGCGTGTACAAGTATATTACACAGATTTAACGACCTCCAACGACTATCTTGAAGAAAATTAATAATTTATTTTCATTTGATCAACGTAACTAGCTGCCTTGAATTAGGGCCTGTTCATATGAGCCCGGTTAGCGAGACATCTCATCTATATATGATCTTGCTTTGCAATACATTTACTATTGATATTCACGTCGTGTTCATATCGAAGAAGTGGCTGCCACAAGCGAGGTCTCGCTTGTGAGACGAAATCATAGGTAGGCGGGATGAAAATCGATATCAGGAATGGCCGTCAAGCGTTCACTCTTAACTGACGCAATACGTAAACCGAGCTAGTTACCTTTGACAACAAGTGTAATATTTATATTATTGTAATCTCCAATAAATTCCTTTACACATTATATATCGCAACCATTTTCAATATTACATCTGAATACCACAAAAAGATGCAAATGTTTGAAAGGAGAAAATATTTTTGATACCAGAAAGCAGCGAAGTAAAAGAAAAGACGGCCAGTTTATTTTTAGTTTATTACGCTCAGGAAATAAATTAATGATGAAAGACGTTTTTGTGGATGCAAGAAGGCACTATTTGTTCTGGAGAAAAACTATTGATATGTGGAAAGATGATGGGTTGTGGCTAGAAAATTTTCTTGTATGTCTAAGGGAACATTCGTTTTAATTTGCGACAAGATCAATGACTCTCTTTAGAAGATACAAATTTCAGAAAGGCTATACCTTTCCAAAAAGAGTAGGAATTTGTCTTGCATTTGGCTACCAATGAAGATTTGCGTTCTTAGCTTGGCGTTTTGTATAGGAAAAAGTAAGTCTGTGGAATCGTGTACGAGGTTCTGCATTAAGTTGGGATCGTTACCCAGGCTGGAAAGTATGCTTTTCGTTTTTCGACGAGATCTCCGGCGCGCACTTGGAAATTACTTCTGTGCTGGTAAAAATAAATTTTATGGTGCACTGTGCGCGGCGACGATCAATCATAGCAATATTAAATTATACGAAGTATCGCTAATCGCGGTGTAAACAGGCTGTTTCAGTGTTTTATTGTGTCAAACATGTTGTACGTCGCAACTTTGGAAGGAAAAATAGTAATTTGGGAATATTGATGATAATGATATTGCAATAGACTGAATCTTGCTTTGTAAGCCTTTGTTATTATTAAAATATCGGAAGTTACTGTTTATAAAAATGTCATTTCTCAACGCATAACTCTGTTTGAATTGATGTGAATATCTCATTTCGCTAACGGCTGCACAGAACGTCAATTAAATTATCAGTCTGCGGATCGTGGTTGGCGCCACTTTGAAAAAATCCTCTTTCAAAATATAAGTAAAGCAAATGCATCAGGCGTCAAGAGCTGCCTCCCATGCTGATGCCCTGTGTTATTCGTCAAGAATAATATGAATGAACTTTAAATGAACAAACTGATTTAACAGATTTCAATATTCTACAGAGCAGTATTTATATATGATCACTCATCCAGCGCCATGAAATGAAAGAATGCGTTGTTAGAATGTAGGTTAGGTCTGTTTCAAACGAAACTTTATAAGTGCCGAATGCATTAAAAAACAAAAGATAATGAGGAATTTGTCCATTTTTCTTGCCTGAAATGCGTAAGTTTAACATGACTGTGAAATAGGTTTTTGAATTAGACATTTCATGTGTTTCAACTAGTTGAGTAAGAAGTGCATAACAAAGTGAATCAAATTACTCACACTTAAAATAAAAATATTAATTTTAAAAATTTTGAAGATTCACTGACATTTGCATAAAGGTGGTTGGTCGAGTCTTAAGATGCAGAGCGAATCAAACTCTGGAGGTTTGCAAGCTGAAGCTTAGGAAAACTTTTCCCAGATGTAAATTCTGTTCTTATAATGCTTATCTTAGGTCAGATAGGAATATTTACTGCATTTTGATAATACCAAAAATCTAATCTTGATATAATTCTAGAGGAAAAAGAGATATGTGGCTGCAATGTACCATCTGCTTATTGGTGATCCAGCATATCCACTGTTACCATGGTTGATGAGGGAGGCATCCTAATGATGGCAATCTCAGTCCTGCTCTAAAGAATTTGATTGCTACTAAAGCAGGATAATTTGTGGATGTACTACGTTTAAAACAGATTTATTTCATCAACAAGAACTGTACAAATTTAGATCATTTGCTCATGAAATTGCATATGTGTTGTACAGTTTGTCATATAGAGTAGAGCTGACAACCTTTTTTGCAGATTATGTTGAACTTATCCTGATGATGAAATTTCAGAATTTGTTTACAGAATTATCGCGTACGCAATTAGAAATTTTAACTGAGTTTTTGATAACCACTGTGATATAGCTAAATTACCATGTTCTAAATTAAATCAAAGTTTATAATAGGTTTGTTGACTTACTGTCATGGATGAACATTAGAATGGTTGTTGCCAGGCTGAGACTCATTGTTATTGCACTTGCAAAGTACATAATCTTTATAAACATTGTTTCCTTCTTTTGCAACTCTCGCTCTTTTCTGCTTTTTTCATTTCTGATAAAACATTTCATCGACTCCTTTTTGATATTTGTTAGCTCTTTTCATTGCATTGTCAAATGCCACTTGCATGCTGGAGAGTTTGCCTTCCCCTGTATTCTTTTTTTGGCACTGATTTGTTTTCACTTTGAGATGTTGTTCTTCATTTGCTTCACTAGGTAACTTCTCATCTATGTTACATTGACATCTACATATATCTCATAAATGTTAAGATTTAATAAACAAATAGTACACATGCAATGCCTACTATTTACCTCTTGCTTTAATGTAATCTAATATGGAAAATCTTCATCATCAGCGTATACTGCAGTGTTGTTTCAAACATGGGCTCCGCTGTCGTAATCTCAACAAACTCATCGCACTGTGACATT